GTATATGCTTACAATAGTTCACCGAAATCAAAAGGTGCCTAATGACCAAAATGTAGTACAAGAGTATGTGAAAGCTCCAGAAGAGCTAATGTTTTGAGACGTGAATGAACTAAACTCTCAGTTGAAGATGCATTACCGAATTATGAAGATATTCGCAGAAAAGAATATCATAATTTATATTGCATCAGAAATGTGTTATAAGAGAACATATACTTCACTGGAGAAATTTGTACTACATGTATATTAGTACATATGAAGGTGTAAACCAGAAGTTTGCAAGATCGGATAACTTTTTATTTTGGCATGTCCGGTCATACCATCCCGGATACAGATGCAAAAATGATTGAGATATCATACGGAAATTAAGTGAGAGTTCAGAGAATTCATCAATCAAAAGATTGATTATGTGATACATGGTCTCGAGGAGAATATACTCGTGAAAATAATTGAATTTGTTGAGATTTTATAAAAGTGTATGCAGAAAAATACACTCACCGTGCAAATCATATATGAATTTTATGATTTTGGTTGATTCATCAACTATATCATCATATATGTCTGTTATCTAAATGCAACCTGATGTTTGCGAGATTAGTTGCCGAATGATGGATATATTTTGATGATTATCCAATCAAACAGAACTTCTCTTATGAGAACAAACTAAGTCTATCGATCTCTTATCGAGGCATATGATATCATTAATTCGCATGAAGCCAACAAGTTATCATAAGTTCTCCCCTTTCATACAAATGGTTTTGGTCAGGGACCAAACATTTAAAATGCTAGAAAATTTGGGTGTGCAGAATACATCCCAATTGATCCACCACAACACGTTATGAGTTCCATGAGAACTTATGTTGGACATGGTGTCCATTGCAATGAGAGATTTGTTCATGACTCTTTTTGCTAATATCATCATTTTGATGAATTACTTTTCGAACGTTAAGGGGGAGAAAAGTAAACACTAGGGCATAGATGTGAGTTGGAATCATCATCTCATTTTGATCCTCAAACGAAGAAACATGAACCTGAAGTTCATATGGTGATTCATGGAGGAAAAAAACGTATTGATTGCCAAACGCCTTTTTACTCACTAAAAGGAGTGATTATGTCAAATGCCCAGTTGTGAATGCTCCAATACAAATTGATGTCCATATTGGATAATCTAATGAGTCTAAACGAGCGTATGAAGCGTGATAGACCAATCGGTTCCAAGGATAAAAATCCTCGAGAAAGGAAGGAGCTATAAATTAAGATGGTAAACTCGAGGATAAAATAGCTCTAGAAGAGTCAGGTCATAAAATTGAGATCATAGTTCCAGAAGAATAGTAGGTACCTGAATGTTTTAAAATGAAGAGATCTCAATTAATTGGCTTGTATGAAAAAAGTTGGAACCGAAGTGTATTTATTGTCGACAAGGGTTTTGATTATGCTGCAGCACTGAACGTGATAGATACAAAGAGGATCAAAAGTAAAAGTCTATTGATGCATGCAGAGAAATATATATTGGCCAATATAAAAGAAAGCATTAGGCTATTTGGTATAAGTTTTGGACCAGAAGTCCTTACACCTGAAGATGTAAAACTAATGGGATGCAAATAGGTTTTGTGCAAACGCGTATGGAAATTGCGAGAGATATAATACAATTTCTCGTGAGAGGTTTCTGGTAGAAACCTGACATCAATTATGAAGAGACATACTCTCTTGTGGTGGATGCAACTATGGTGTGCAATTTAAATAGTTTGGCAGTTCAAAAGGCATGAAATTTGCATTTGGTAGATATTGTGATAGCCTATTTGTATGGATCCCTTGATAATGATATTTATACGAAACTCCCTGAAGGATTAGTTTGTCAGAAGCAAACATGTGAAGTTCTCGAGAACAATATCGATCGATAAAACAATCCCTTGTATGGATTGAGATAAAATGGATGAATATGGTATATTCATCTAAGTGAATATCTACTAAAGGAAGTGGTCGAATAAGCCTTGCGTGATTAAATTCGAATAAAGTGCATTAGAGCATTTGCATTTGGCATGTGTGATTGTGTAATGACATATAAGCTTATGTGCGTGATATTGTGGTTTTAGTTATGAGTTTGATTTATGAATATGGTTTGGTTAAGTGATATTGTGTGTATGACGTGCCTTTTGCTTGTGACCGTGTGGTATGAAGTAATTGTTTGCATACAATTGTGTTAGCTAAGTTTTATAGTTATTTGGAAGAAAAAAGTCGAGAAATTATTTTATAATGATCTCATATCTTTTAGTTGATATGAACTCCAGAAGAGCTTCATAAAGCATGTTTTGCTTGATGAAAGAAAATTAAACTTCAGAAGAGTTTCATGCAACATGGATTGCTTAAAGAAAGAAAATTGAACATGAAGGATTTAAGATCCTTTTTGGATCAGTACGACAATGTCGGAAAGGTGAAAGGACAATTTTGTATGAAAAAAATTGCATATGTTCAACAGCTTAATGATCACATGGTCACTAGAAGTGAACAATGATCAATTTAGGCATTGAGATAAAAGTGAATTATTAGGTCCTGAAGTACCGTATGTTAATGTCGTTAGAACGAAAATGTATCTCGCTATACTTCGTTACTATAGGTAACGATGAGGATCATAGATGAGTAATTTGTTTACCTATGGTCGTACAAGTATCTCATGGAGATTCCAAAGAAATCACAATAGCAACTGATCATGCACAATGGTCAACAATTCATGAGACTTGTTATGAATTGTTTGGTTAAGATTTGTTATTCAACACGTCTAAATGACTTGTAGTTGTGGATTCTCTTCATAAAAAATGATCTTGAAGATCATGTATGAAGAAAATGGTCCTAATGGATCATGCATAAAGTGACAATCTAGAAGATTTGTTCACTAAGAAGCTTACCATGAGAAGATTTGAAAGATTTGTTCACAACACTATACTTTGATGTTGTCATGAGGGGGAGCATATACGCACTGCACTCTTTTTTCCTTAACCATGGTTTTTCCCACTGGGTTTTCCTGGTAAGGTTTTTAACGAGGCAGATTCAGATAGCGTATTATGATGATTATGTACTCTTTTTCCTTCACTAGGATTTTATCCCACAGGGTTTTTCCTAGTAAGGTTTTAACGAGGCATATTCATGTCTAATGGTCATCCAAGGGGGAGTGTTATGAAAATATTATTATTATTATGGATGACCAACATTAGATGCTCCATGGTATGTTACAAGTTCTATGTAACTCATCTCCTTATATTTATTCTCCATATGACACATTAGTTGCACAATTGGGTGTTACATGTAACCCCCCCACCCCATTTCTATTTCACATTCATTCTCACATTCATGTATATTGATTGTAAGAATGTAGAGGTTATGTGATGTGTGCCTATAAATAGATGGTCTCCTTGTACTAAGGAACATATGAATAAGAAAGCTCTATTCCCCCTCTCTTCTTGTGTCTCTACTCTTACTCTTGTGTATGTTCCTCTTCCTTGTTATTTCATAACAATCAATTGATTCTTTTCATGTCTGGTTAATTATCAATTGAGTCACAACAACATTACACCAACTAATAAATGCTTTTTTTCCTTTTAACATTATTATCTAGACTTGACTCCATGACCAATCGTTTTCCGTTGAAGAACTATTCCCCCAAAATAATTTTTAAATCCTGCTCTCCAATCATCCAAATGCACACAACGTCCAGAAATGTTCAACCGGTCCCTATCACTAATTGAAGTAATTAGCCATTTGTTTATTGTTAAGTGGGTCAGTTGGCTTCTGCAATCAACCAATACACATGATTTTATAATGAGTAATTAGCTGTAATCCTTTAGATTAAGAAGAAAAAGAGAACATTCCTACAACTAATTATTCACGGTACTTTGTCTAATAAGAAAATTATTATTATTATTATTATTATTATTATTAGGTCTGATTTGGGCTGCCGCTCAATTTAGCCAAATTAAATTATCTCACGACGCTCCTAACCTATCATACTGTGGGTTAAATGTCATTTTAGCAAAATGCAAACTGAACTAACTGATCATATGTAGCATAAAATTTGGATAGTGAGTCGGCTCGCAATTTGAGAGCTTGATTTTTCTGGTAGAGTTATGAGTAACTACATGAACTGCTGAAAAGGTGAATTTTTTGCAAAACGTACCTAATGAATTTGTTTGACATAATCAAATTATAACGGCAGATAAAATAAATTGATTTTTTTATTGTAGGTTATTTTATTTTAACCAGCATTTTGTAACAAGTTCAGTGTAGACCTAGAGATTTTATGCATGGAATAATTTCGTTTAAACATTTCAAAACCTACTACAGCACATTCTTGGTTTGATTCCCTTTTCGTTTAACTATTTTATTTAATTCATCAGGTTTTTGTTTAATAATCCCAATTTTTGTTCCCGTCCCAATCTCCTCTACAGAAAACGTTTGTTTATATTGGGCCATTTTTTGCAATCCAACCTCCCTCTGGTTTTCTTCTTCCTCTCCCGTCTGTTCTTCAGATTCTTCAGCCAACAAAGAAAGAAACCCCAGTTCCCAAGTTATGGTGAGCAATCCAGAACAGCCGACGATGATCAATGAAGAATTCAAGGTACAAAGTTACTAACTTTCCGTCTTGCTTTCCATTACCCAGAATTTTGTTTTCGGCCTTTAACCCAATTTAGTGGAGAAATGATTGATTGCTTGCGGGTTAATGGATTTGTTCAGGAAGCCATGGAAGCTAGCAAGGTTGAAGTCTCAGCGTCACCTTCAGCTTCTCGCCCAGATTCCCCAGTGCAAACTAACAGCAGACCTACCAGCATGGTTATCAAGGCAATTTACTTCCCTCTCTCTTCACCCATCTTTTCACTATAACTTGGTCATTAGGTTAATTTGTTGTGATTTTACTGAGAAATCTTTTAACTATCTAGTGTTTTTGTACTTTAAAATCAAACTGTAAATTCTTTAGGTAAAACATTTTTTTAGTTCACCTTTTACTATTTTATCATAGAATAACTCATTGCTTAAAAAAAATTCATGAATTGCAGAAGGCGCATTCCGTAATCCCAGCCCATCTAATCGCCGAAGCCATCTCAACTCTCCGGGGACTCGACCTTCGGTGGTCGGGACCCATAACTCCGACCGAAATGGACTACGTCAAACAATATGTCTTCGCCAAATACCCTCAATACTGCAACGGCATCCTCAACGAAAGCGAAGCACTCGATTTGGGCATTACCGGGGAAGAAGAAGAATCCTCGGAACCCAACACAAAAATTTCCCCCAAAAACCCCTCGACGCCGTCGTTTAGCCGGAGCTTCTCCGATCTGGACCGAACCCAACTGGAATCGTCCCGCCTACTCGACATACTAGCCAAGAAATCCTCATTCAAGGGCAATTTCATGTCGATCCCAGAAATCCAGGCATCGAATCGAGCCCTGAAGCACTGCGGGCTGAACGAGAAGGACTATCTGGTCATTTTCATGCCGACCCAGAGAGATGCTCTGGCGATGGTGGGCGAGAGCTACCCTTTTTTCAAAGGGAACTATTACATGACAATCGTTGAAGAAACAGGGGACGGGATCCGCGAATACGCCGGTAGAAAAGAGGCGAAAGTGGTTCCGATGCCGGAGAGCTGGTTAGATCTGAGAATCAAAGGTTCGCAGCTAAGCCAGTACTTTCGGAGAAAGTGTAAGAACACTCCAAAGGGGCTTTTTGCGTATCCGGCCGCGGCGAATGGGCTTAGGTACTCGATGCATTGGATCTCCGAGGCCCATCGGAACTCGTGGCATGTCTTGTTGGACGCGACGGGGTTGGTGATGGGGGAGGAGAGGCTGGCGCTGGCCATGCATCGGCCGGATTTTGTAGTGTGTGGGTTGGAGAACAACGGCGGCGGCGGCGGGCAGGGGAACGGGCAGAAGGTGAGTTGTTTGTTGGTGAGGAAGAACTCGTTTGATACTTCTGCGGCTTCTGGGTGAGGGGGGATTTTGTAAATAAATAAAAGATGGGGGATCTGAGTTTTAATTGTTGCTTGGATCTCTTAATTATGTTATGTCCCAACCCTCTTGTGGGACTTGTGCGATTGAAGGGATGTGATTTTGTGTTGGGGAATCTAAACTTGTGAAGGGGTTGGAATCTAATTGGATTAATTAGCTTCTAATTGATTGGTAACCCCAAAATCATTGTCAAATCATTGTCAAACTTTAGTTGAAGAGAGTGGTGAATACTAATCCATCGAAATAAAGGTAAATTTCGGATAGTAGAGTTGGGAAACCGTTTGACTAGTGAATAGTGATGGACATGCTTTCGTCTGGTTGATCATCCAAGTATGTGAACAAATTAGGCAGGATATTTTGATAGGTTGAATTGGTATTGAAAGAAATGAAGCTTTGTAAAACAGTTATAAACATCGAATCCTTGAGTTTAGATCAATTTGTCAAGAACTAGTTGGTACCAATAACTAGAGTTGTTAGGAGAGGTTCAATCGTGGATCATATACCGTTTACTAACTCACCCCCTCAAACGAAAGCCACCATATATGAGCCTAAAGTTTGCACAAGTGCGGACACCATGTGCTTAACAGAAACATATGGGGGTCGTCGGGATTCGAACAAGAGACCTCTCGGTTACAGAAGACTCTAATACCATGTTAAGAACCAATTGGTCCCAATAACTCGAGTTGTTGGAAGAGTTTCAATCGTGGATTATATATCTTTTACTAACACAATTTGGTTGTTAAGATGTACAAAATGGAACAATATCATGATAAGATGGCATAATTTGACTTTGAGAAGCATCTTCAGTTTCATCAATATTGCAAATGTCAGTTGTGCTATAACAACCAACACTATAGGTTGTCACTTTTAAGAATTTTGCACAAGGTATCATACCGCTCCATACCATATAAGCATTCTTAGTTTAGCATACTTGACCTTTTGGTTATTACTTATTTATACCATACTGCCTCATATAAAGATGGCAAATGGATTGGTGGATTGGATTGGTCGATTCATAGACCAAATGGATTGGATCTAATGAATTCATGGATTGGATTAAGTGGATTGGTGGATTATCCAGGAATCCAAATGACCCCAACCTTGGACCAATATGTAAAATGTGAAAAGTTTATGTATTAAAATGTCCTAATGAAAAGTTTAGGTACCAAAACGTAATTTTCCAATAATATTTTTTGTATAAAAATTAAATTTAGGTACCAAAATACAAAAAATAAAAATTATAGGTACCAAACTATAATTTGCCATTTGGATCCATGGATCAATCAATGAATCCACCCGTCCAATTGGATTTGGATCAAATAGATTGGTTTTAAATGGATAGGATTAGTTGGATATTTTTAATGGATTGATGGATTGAATTGAGAATTGCCACCTCTGGTTTCATACCATACCCGTAACCTACCCATTATTTTGAAATCGGGTATTACCCATACAACCCCTTAACCCGTCAAAGCGGGTAATTACCCTTGTTGATGTGTTATGGTTGGGTAGGATATTCATGGTTATGAGTTGGATTGACATGAGCAAAGAGGTGGGGTATTTACTCATGGATTGAGCTATGAGTATAAGTAGGGCTGAAAGTTTGGTACCGATATTTGGTATATACCGAATACCATACCGAATTTGTTTAAATTTGGTATTACCGATTACACATATTATTTCTTGGGATTGGGATTGGGATACCGAATACCATACCGAATTTGTTTAAATTTGGTATTACCGATTACACATATTATTTCTTGGGATTGGGATTGGAATTCAATTTCAATTGTTATTCGGTATTAGGGATTACGGGATTGAGATCGGTATATACCGAACAATACCGAAATATAAACTAGTGTGTATTTTATCCTCTCAACTAGATTGTCTCATTCACTACTACACTACCCTCAACCACCAATGTATTATTATTTTCATAACACCTAAAAGCAAACACTAGTATTAGGGCTAAATTACACGTTTAGTCACTCAAATTACATAAATCTTTCAAGTTTGCCACCCGAATCACTTTTCTTTCTTATTCGCCACTAACTTTGCGAAATGTTTCATATTTGGTCACCGACCGTCTATCTCCGTTAACTCCGTTAAATTTTTGATGACGTGGCAAACAGAATTTTGACTGGACTGTTAACTAATGACATGTCAATTTTAAAATAAATTAAAAATTAAAAAACAAATTAAACCTCATTTGCCCTGAGAACCACGAGAAGGGGAAAAGCTCCTTACTCTCGGTCCACATTCATCCGCCGGTGGTGATATGTTCCTTTCTCTCACTGGATCGCCGGTCAAGGAGTCCTCCTCTCGTCATTCTCGTCATCGCCGCCACGACTGGGTTGGACGACTATGGCGACCCGTCGGAGACTAGACGATGGTGATTGCGACGAAGGCAGAGACAAGGAAGGCGAAGATGCGACGAAGGCAGAGGCAGATCCATAATGGCGGAGGAGACCCATGAGCTGGCTAGCAGCGCAACAGCAGCTGTGTCGCAATTGGAGGACGCCGACGCACTCATCGACTCCGTCGAGACCTTCAGCTTCGATTGCGGCGGTATAATTACCTATTCTTCCCGGCCTTTCAGTCCCAATTCTGGCAATTATTCACTTCCGCTTTTTCTCTGCTACAAGATTTATATGGGAAGGGGATAAGTTAAAATGATGTTTCTCAGACTCCTTTGTTTTATTTTAATTGATTTTGTTGTTTTTATGGGGTTCCAGACCATTGAAGCAATTGGTTCTGTTTGAACCTAACTGGGAGTAGGAGTTAGATTCGAGTAAGGGTTGGGGTCAAGAAGAAGTGCAAGTAACGGGTTTGATCAAGAAGTCACAGACTAGAGAGTTGTGAGAGAACCAGAGAAGGGATATTAGAGAGATAAGTTGTTATTGTAGAGAGAGAGTGGTGAAAAATGCGATCCCCTCACCCACCGGAGTAAATGCCATATTTATAGGCTACATGGTGGTGGGTGAGTGGTTGGATTACATGATGGGACCTAGGCTCTGATGTGACCACTGACACGTTGGGGATTTCGGCCATCCCCCTACCTAGGACATGTCAGGGGTGTACCTACGACTGTGTCACTGATCCCTATGCGGCCGACCCTCGGGAAGTGTGAAGTGAGCTCCTTATGGCTTCGAGGCTTACGACGCGCCTGAGCCTCCGCGCCTTGATACTTCACTCTCGCGCGTTGGTTCTCTCCACTCGCGCACGCATAGTGGCGCGCCCTTAGGCCTTCATGCGCGCCTTGGACCCTCGTGCGCGCCTTCTGTCGGCGCGTCCTGCCTTGCACAGCTAGGTCCGAGTCACATGCCCAACAGGTTCCATTGCATCTTCTCCCCTCCTTCGTCCCCAAAAAACCAGCGACAGCAATCCATGGAAGCTCAACCCAAACACCATCGGCCTCGGCGGCGCCAGAGCACACTCGCCCGCTCCAATCAACCCACCAACAAAAGAATCCCCCTTCGGCGAAAAGAAAAAAAAAACAACGGGAATGACGAGATTCCGCAGGAAGTGTTTGAGAGAATGATGGCGGGGTTACTCGTTTCTGTGAGAATATCGATGGGGCTTGGGATCGGTATGTTGTTCTTGGTTGGGATGGTTAAAAAGTGGTCGATTGACTCTCGACCAGCTTGGATCCAGCCGAGAAGGGGTCGTTACTGGGCCTGGAAGAAGCTCGAGAGCATTGGGAGGAGATGCACCAACTTGTGCTTCGGCGGCGGTGACGAGAATGACAGGAGGGGAGACTCCTTGATCGGCGATCTTGTGAGAGAAAGGAAGAAACATATCACCGGCAGCGAATGGATGTTGACCGAGAGGAAGGGGACTTTTCCCCTTCTCGTGGTCGTGGTTCTCGTTTAGGGTAAGTGAGGTGTAATTTTTTAAAAAAAAAATTGACATGTCACTTAGTTAACAATCCAGTCAGATTTCCGTTTGCCACGTCATCAAATATTTAACGGAATTAACGGAGACAGACGGTCGGTGACCAACCATGAAACATTTCGCAAAGTTAATGGCGAATAAGAAAGAAAAGTGATTCGAGTGGCAAACGTGAAAAATTTATGTAATTTGAGTGACCAAACGTGTAATTTAGCCCTAGTATTAGTCTTCTCTCAGCCTCCAATTCGTCAAATTAAAGATTACCAATGACAAAACTTGAGATGCCACCTCTACTCCATTCTCCTTATCCATATCCTAGCTCTAGCCAAACTCAAAATTATTTGTTTAGTCTTTTTGACCTATATTAAACAATCAAAATTTCGTAATCGATAATACCGATTGGGATATCGAAGTACCGATTGGATACCGAAATATTTGGGATTGGGATATCGAAATTATTTAGGGATTGAGATTGGAATTGATTCTAGGGTGTAATTCGGTATTCGAGATTTCGATATTTGATATTGGGATACCGATACCGTACTGATTTCCACCCTAAGTATAAGATAGCCATATTAGATTTGGGTATATCAGCTTTTTAGTAGGAATGGCAATGGGGTAGGTCTGGGGCGGGTTTCTTGGTACACAGACCCGCCCCGTGGCAGCCGGCAGGTCGGGTAATTGATCATGGATCGCTGGCCGGGGCAGGTCGACCCAATGGGTACGCAATTTATATGAAAAACATTAGAAATATTTGTTATTTTTATTATAAGACTAAGAAAACAAACAATATTATTGGAGAAATTGAGGTTTTCACTAATTTACAACTTTATTATAGCTAAAATATGATGCAATAAAAGGAAAATTCTAAGTAATTTGACTAAGATTACATGTAATTTAGACAAGAACGGGTCGAGAATGGGGCGGCTCAGGGCAGGTCGGGTCAATGAGACTACCCATGCCCGCCCCGCCCGCGCCTATGGGGCGGATCAGACCCGCCCCAAAACAGGTCAAATAGGTCGGATAAACGGGCCAGGTCGAAATTGTCATCCCTACTTTTTAGTGAACCAAAAAGAAGCTCCGACAAGTGGACTATGGGCCTGGCAGGTTTTTGGAGGGCTGGTGGAGGAGTTGAGTTTCAAGGCCTGGGTTTGAATTTCATTTGCGGCTATTGAAATGGTTAGGAACTTATCTGAATTTCTATTTAACGCCCTAACTTTTTAAAATTTTCGCCCTAAATTAACTAAACAGACGATTCTACCCCGTTCGCCATAATTCCTAAAATGTCAATCGTCGCCCCCGCAAGCCCTATGATTCTTCCCCGTCGCCGCCACATTCCACCGTCGCTGCCGCAAGCCATATGATTCTTCCCCGTCGCCGTCAGCCGCCGCTGCTCGAGAATGAAAGAAATATCGCCAAGGAGGTCATTGCCCGTCGCCCGTCGTCGGGCTCTGCTACTGTCGAGCGATGGTGAGTCCGAAGAAGGAAGCGTCGATCAGTCTTCTTCCTCCTCCTCCCTCTACCGCGAAAAACCCAACATATCCCAGGAGTAGTAGAGCGGCGTCGACGGGGTGGAAGGAGCAGGGGACCAGCCGCCGCGAGGAATCCCTTCCAGGACGAACAACGACAATGATTTCCAGAGCGACGGGCGGTGACTTCCTAAGCGCTGAGACGGATGAACCCGATCGGCGACCGAGCAGGCATGGCGGTGAGAGTCTTTTCTCCAGGGTGAGCGGCGCAGCAGAGGGCTTGGCGGCGTCGATAGGGCGGAAGGAGCAGCGGAGCAGCCGCCGCGAGATATCCCTTCCAAGGTGAACGACGACGATGATTTCTAGAGCGATGGTGGGCTGACGGTGACAGGGGAATGTGCGGCGACGGAGAAGATTTAGGGATTAGGGAGAGCACTTTTGGGATTTTGGTTAGAAATTGAGCTTTTTTGGGGACAAAACCTTCAAATTGTTAAATTAGGGCGACGAAATTTAAAAAGTTAGGGCGTTAATTAGTACCCCTCGGACTTATTAGATGTCGTTCGCAATTTGCAGTAAAACCACAAAATAACTCAATCTATTAGCCACGGGTAAATAAGATCTCATTAAAATGATTTACCGCTAATCACTAATAGTGTTTATTCAACAGAGTGAGGTTTAATTGTGAAACTACAACCATTTTCTCATCCTAGTTGGACTCTGCCGAACACTCTAATTTTGGCTCTTTTAACCATTTTGTAGAGGAAATTCTTGATTTGTATTATCATTTCCATCCTTCAATCTTCTCCCAATGGTATTGTTGTCTCGTATAATTTCACGATCACGTAACGAATTAATAGATTGGAAGATAGAATTGGTTGCACAACAAATTTCGCATTCATAATGAGTGGATCCTACGGTTTATTATTGACATCATATCAACATAATTATAACAAATGATTCTCTTTGTGTGATTGCCAGGCACTTACTCGACCATAAAAGTAATAAGATTAGCAAAATGGACACAAGATTTGAATGATCATCCTTGTGATTTATCTTTTTTTTTTGTCATATTAAAATGTAGGAAACCTTGAGAAAACAAACATATTAACATGTAGGAAAGAAAAACATAATTTATTAGAGGAAAAGGTATTGTATATTCAAATTTTCTTTCTTTTACTCATTTTTTCTGAATACTTTAAATAAAAAATAAAAACACTCAACCGCAAAACATGGAAAATTGTAAGAAGATAGATATTAATTAATTATATGAATAAATATACCAACCTATCACCTGTGTCTTTCCTCCACCTATCAAAAAACTTTAATTACTACCACTAAACTATATTCCCGGCATAATCCATGCATTAATAACATAATAATAATAAAGATATAATTTCATTAACCCCACACCAACAACAACAAAAAAATAAAATTCTAATCGGTAGGGCAAACGACCAAAACGACGTCGTCGTCCTTTCCGCATCCTAACAAAACCACGAGTTCTCATCCTGCCCGCCGGTCACGTTCGACGCCGGCGGGATCTCGAAATGCCACAACCGCCCGACGCCCTTCACCAGGTACTTCCGGCACAGGAACTCCTCCGCAAACGCCTTCTCCACCTTCCGGTCCACATCGTGCAGAAACACGTGCGTCACACCCGATCCCTTCCTCGCCCTCGCCATAACCGCCGCCGAGAATATCGCTCCCATCCTCCCGGGCGCCTCGGCGAAGTACCCGCGCGGCGCGTCGATCATGATCAGGTCCCACTCCGTCGCGTAGACCTCGCCGGGCAGCCCGGTCAGGGCCAGCGGGCAGGCGTAGTTCCCGTCGAGATAGGCCCTCGCCGGCGAGCACGTCGGCTCCTTCCTGTACGAATTCAGGAGCTCGTCGGCCTCCTTGAGCTGGGTGCGGTACCGGACGGTGTGCGCGTGGAGCGACGGCGCGTCCTTCAGCACTTTCTCGACCCACGACGGATCCTCCTCGAGGAAGACCGTCTTCCCCCTGGGGTTCAGTGCGCTCCACATCAGGGAATCGAATCCGAGGCCGAAGACGAGGAAATTGGCCGGGGAGAAAGAGCGGCCGCGGAGGACGTCGAGGGTTACGGTGATCTCGTCGATGTTCTGCTGCGGCGTGATCCGGGAGGTGGCGTAGTGGACGATCGCCTGGAGCTGGGCCGGCGTGGTGGGGTAATCGGATGTGGCGCGGATCAGCTTCTTGCTCGCGAGGGAGCAGAGGAAGGAGTCGTCGCCGCCGGAGCGGAGGAAGCTCCCGATCAGGACGCCGGCGAAGACCAGGCCGGCCATTACCACGGCGATGATCCACGATCTGTCCGGCAACAGGCGCCGAGGAGATTTCATCTCTTTTTTTTTCCTGATGGATTGAATGATTGATTTGGGTTGGGTTGGGTAGAGAAATGGGGCGGGTTGGGGGAAAATTACAGGGGTGGATTTCAATGGAGATTGCGACGGCGATGGAGAAGGGGAGGAGAAGAATGAGAAATGAAGAAAGAGGCTTTTTTTTTTTATTTATGTAGAGGAAGTTTGAGGCACTAAATAAAGAAACGAAATGAAAGACAGATGACTTCTACTATGCTATATAGTATTGGTGCTTTAATGTACAATTTGAAGTTGTACTATAACATTAAAAGTATAAGTTTAGGTTGTACCATAAAAAAATTTGTACAATTATGTTATGGTACAACTTTACAACTTGAAGTTGTACCATCATATAAATGCACAAATTTAAGTTGTATCATAAAAGAATTTGTACAAAACGTATAAATACAGGTTGTACCATAACGTTAAATGTACAATACTATATAGTATTGTAAAATTCATAAGGAAAGAAATCCTTTCTTTTTATGGGTCGCTAATGGAAATGTCGGGTTCACTGTATTGGATTGATGAAGTTACCGTACAGAGGTTCAATGAAGAAAATGTGAAGGTAAGCGAATTTTTAAAGTTAGTGGTAAGATTGTGAATTTACGTAGAGTAGTGCTTTCTTTAATATTTTGTGGAAGTATATACATGGTTCAGTTCCATGTGATAATGTTGTAAGTGTATAATGCAACGTCGTTTTGAAAATGTTATATAATATATTGATCGGAAAAGGTCTTTATAAAATGATATCTATCTATCTATCTCTATCTATTATACTTATAATACGCCGAAGGGAAAAACGGGAGCCCCATTTCAAATTTCCTGCAACGAGAGTGAAAGTAGGAAGGACATTTTGGTCTTCACAATTACTTTTTTTTATTCATTAAAAAAATATACGTACTGGGATTCGAACCATGACCATTTTAAAAAAAAGACAAGGATCATAACCAATAACACTAAGTAGATTTGTTGTATCATTTTAAATTAAAAATATATAATAGCAGGGTGGAAAAAACTCTTCCCCCATTTCAAATTCCCTGCTTCAGGAACGTTTGTAGGAAGGGTAGAATAGGGAGTGTCAATTTTTTTCTCTTTCTTCTGTGGAACGGGTCAACTAACCGTACACATGCGGATTTAAACGGGTCCAGGAGTGTCAATTTTTTCTGTATACCATTTTATTTCTCCGTGGTGATAAAATATATATGAAAAGGCAAAAATAATACTCCTTTTTATTGTTAAACATAAAAAATTTAACAATAAACTAATGCATGGTATTTAATGGGCTAACCGCTAACCATAAAATAAAAGAGTTGAATGGGCCTGACCTACATGAGATTTGGCCATCAAGTAAAACAAATGAACATCATTGGTTTGTCATTATAAAACAAGCTATTTTCTTTGTCATAATATATATTATGCTATTATTTTATATCTTAGTGGCTAAAATATAATGTATTTAAAGTTATTCAATGGTTCAACCTCGACCAACCCAATTAGTCCAATTTTTATCATTTCAAATATATATTATAATTATTTGACATCATAATGATCAAATTATAGTGTATTTTATAGGGAATCGTTTGGTATTTGTTAGTAAAAAACTAAACATAAAGATCTATTTGGTTATTTTAAACATTAAAACGATCCTAATCATTTTCAGTTTCTTTTGAATTTCTATGATTTTATTCCCGAATAAGTGATGTGCAAATGGCGAATTGTAGTCGTCTCTTTTCTTTCACTATTTTTTATTTTCAAATAGAAAGTTTAAAAGTAAAGAATAATTAGAATTTGGCATGGGTCGGTCAAACAGGCTGAATTTCAAGTTTTGGCCCGTTTGTTTTATGCATTGCAAATTTATTAGCATGTTGATGGAAATGGCTTGGAAAAAAGACATATAAGTTGTACCTTTGCATAAATGTCCTCAAATGTTTGAATGCTTTGTGAATCAGGTTTTGTGACTTTTGTGATGGTGTATGTGCTTGACGATTGCTCGATGTTGTAACTACTTAATTTGAGAGTAAATCTTTTGATTTTCCCTATGAGTTATGATACCAGTTCTGGTGGTTGCAGCATGTTGTCGTTGTTGGCCTGTAAAAGTTGTTCCACCGTGATGCTAAATACCTTTCTTTCTGTTTTAACAAATTGTGTAGTAGTGCTATGAAACAGACCACCCATGAACGCTACGCTTATTATGGTCTGTTCTTACTTCCGGTGGTTAGAAATTGTGAATTGAGAATGATATTCGCCTACCGCACTGTGTCTGGCTGGTGGCTGCTTACTGTGCTCTATAGAGTTATGAAACAGACTACCCATGAACGTTACCCTTAAGAGTCCATAACTTTGCGAAAAATCAAATTTAGGCAATCAAAGGTGGTGGATGTGTGATGATTTTTTATGGCTTAATTGTTTGTGAATTGGATATCTGATCTTTGTATGATTAGAGGGGATGTTTGCTTAATAGAATAATCCATTTTAATGCATGTTTATTTTTAACATGAACTTTAGTAACTCAAAACCTTCGAGACACATATCACCTACTGCATTGTATCATTTTGCCTAGGTGCTTGCTGTGTTGTCAAACTTCTTTGCTATTGTTGTATTCACACTAACAGGGGAGTTAAGAACCCATAAATGTTTCCGTTTGACACAAACAAGAGGACTTACTTCTAAATCGTGCATTAAAGATGTTTGGAGGAAACATATCTGTTGCAGTTGATATACTTGAGACCATAACAAAAGCAACGTATAACATCAAAACCAACCACCTGAACTATTAGCATTGTTGCTTTACTCTTTTTTCGTGGTTGAGTCTCCTTCAAAAAATTTAGTTTGATTTTAGAAAATTTTGCTTCTGCAGTCCTGTCTTGCCACCAACGCGTTCAGTAGATGGAGATGGCAGAGGCGAAGGCTATTTTTGTGTTGTTGTTGCTGGTTTAGGGATCGGTTTGTGAAGAAGAGGGAGAAGAGAGGGGGATAAATCTTTTCTTTGACAAAAATGGAGTGAAGAAAGGAATTATGATCAGTAAGAATATGATTATCTTACATAACGGTCTCTATTCTGTTTGAATTGAGCTTGGGAGGCAGTGATAAGGACGAGCTGCAACCAATTCATAGTGATAAGAGTGCTATGAACCGTGATCATGTCTTATTTCAAGTTAGAAGGTAGTTTCAGTATAAGGATTATTTAATTTGACAAGTTGTTTCGTCCATGATTCTTGGTAGTTTCAGTGCCATTCTAGCCATTGTTTAGTCTGTAATTTTTGAGAATTGATGTGCGAGTAATGACTTTCACTTAGCTTCAACTATCATGTGTGTATTTATTGGCATGTGATAGAATTCTCTTTTCCTTTTCTTTGAATTTAGTTTCATACTCTAATTGTATCATTTGTACATAGGAAAATCATGCTCGAGATGACAACTCGCTGATATGGCTGGTGCAAGGAATGAAGCTATCATTAGAATTCAGACTGACAACGGGGAGGGATGCCCAGGACTAATTCAATGATGATTGATGATGGTATAATAAAAACTGCAGTATGCATCAGCACCAATTTCTAGGTCTAAGTAAAGTTATTCAACCCAGAACTCTGCTTAGCGCTAAAAATTGCTCTCACCCAACCTTGATCCTGTTTGACCCACTTCTGAAGAGTCAAGATATATGACTAATCATCTCCGTTCGTATTTTCTTATTGACTCTTTCTGACCCTTTAGGTTGGGGCGGGTCGGGAAGAATCAGATTAGTGGGTCGGTCCTAATCAAGTGGAATCCCCATCCCTTCACTCTCACTTGCTTTCTCTCCCATTCCACAAGTGGGTAACATACAGTAATCCGGCCAACGGGCCGGGTAATAAGCTAGTTATATAAAATTATTGTAATGGGCTGGTAGTCGAAGGGAAAAGAAGCCTTAGGTACGGGTATTGCTGAATTTTACAGAGTCCTATTTCAAGAATCTACCACTGACAGACCCTTCCCTTGTGTTTATCTGAGCAGCAGTTTGGATCCTCAAGAGTGCGCTGATCTGACTCGGAATTTCAGTGAGAAGGAAATCTGGGATGTTATTAAATCAAGTGATGGCTTCAAGGTCTCGCGATCCGACAGTTTTACCTTTGATTTCTATAAGAAATGTTGGCAGTTATGTAAGCAGGAGGTCATTCAAGCTTTTGAGGAGTTTCACGCCATGGGTTATCTTCCAGAAAGCATTACTCATGCGTTTATTTGCCTAACCCCGAAGGTTGATGTTGTTGAAAGCACGAAGGATCTTCAACCAATTTGCTTGATGAATAGCTTTAATAAACTGGTGAGTAAGGTGTTGATGAACTGTCTGAGCCGTGTCCTTCCTAAGCTGGTTTCTCCCAATCAACATGCCTATGTTCGTGGTAAACATATCCCGGAGGCGACTCTTATAGCTAATGAGATTGTTGACAGTAGAAAGAAGAGCAGAAATGTAGGATTAATGTTCAAGTTGGATATCGAGGAGGCCTTTGACAATGTCAATTGGGAGTGCCTCTTTAACGTGTTGGATAGATTGGGTTTCCCGGCTAAGTGGCAACAATGGATTAAAGGGGACATGTGTTCCCCTTTGACGTCTATTCTTGTCAACGGTGAAGAGCATGGTTACTTTCGCGCGAGTAAGGGGGTTTGGCAAGGGGATCTCCTTTCACCTGGGCTTTTCGTTCTGGTTATGGACATCCTTTCTTTCATGATAGAGAAGCTTTGACATGATGAAGGGTTATTACGTTTTGCTATGGATGAGGATAGGCGGACAAAAGAGGTTACTCATCTCCAGTTTGCTGACGACTCCCTTATTTTCTGCGACGCTTCTGTTGATCAAGTACTTAATATCCTTGCCACTCTGGCTTGCTTTCAGGTAGTGACGGGACTCAAAATCAATCTCGATAAGTCTATGATGTACACTATTGGTGACGTTAATGAACCCAGTTTCTTCGCTTGGATCTTAGAGTGTAAATGGAGTAGCGACCCAGCAAAGTACCTTGGCCTCCCTTTAGGAGATCGCCCTAACGCGGTCTCGATTTGGAACCAGGTGATGAGCAAGTATCGAGACTGTCTCTAGGGGTGGAAAAGCAAGCTCCTCTCATTTGGAGCTCGTATGACTCTCAATAGCGTCACTCTCAATGGCCTTCCAGTTTATCACTTTTCCTTGTTGAAAGCTCCAAAGACTGTTCTGAATAATCTTCATTTTTACAATTAATTGAAGAATGATTAGTACAACCTAGGGGCACCACCTCTGCACATACATCTTCATTTTTACTTCACTCAAGCCACATTCATTCCTAAATTCCTTCTCATGCCTGTATACGGTTGGGCTTCCATAAATATAAATAGTAAAACTTTCTTTTCCAATAAAACTTGCTAACCACCAACTTATTCGTGTAAGTTGTTCATTATAATGGCTATAAAGGAACTCAATGCATAAGATAAAGGTTTGATTCTTTGTAGTTCTAATGATGATGGACAACAAACTATCAAAAAGAACGCTACAACTGTCACCACTATTATTTTCATTGGATCTTTGGTTATTGAATTAATTTTACATGATAATAAAAAGTGGAGGAGGGTGTCTCTATATAACTAACATTTTTTTATGTAATTGTTAAAATTTTAAAGGTCATACCCAATTATAGATGTATATATTGGTAGTATACAACTGCAACTACTACAGCTTAGTTACATGATCATGATATGCTCTCTCATTTTCATTCATCTAAACCATGTTTATTTCTTAGGTACTTATTTATCAAATACGTGAATTTTCGCTCTCGGACCTCATTCAAGTACATGTTAGAGTTGTGCTGATGTCATGTAAAAAATGTACATCCTGAAAACGAATTGTGCACAACAAAAGCTTCACTTTGTTGTCTTACGTATTCAAATGAATTTAACACCTAACCTCTAACCGTTGTATTTTTAACTTTATTGGTGACATCCGATTCAATTTTAGAAGTGTTAGTCTAATTTCCAAATAAATTATATTTGAAATCACAAATACATATAGTATTATACATTTTTGTTCATAACTTTTGTTTCAATAAACATTTACAAATGTTCGAATAAAATCATACATAAATAAAATAGAAATTTAGTTATTTGTCAAATCCGAACTCTTATTTAACTTTTCATGTCACGTTCATTTCAAGCAAAAACAAAATAAGACAATAACCTTTTTCTTATACTAATACACCAATGATACAACATGTTTTTGTACCATTATAGTTTGAATAATGAACGTGTGTTATACGTGTTTTCAATTCGGGAATAGATTTATTGTTGATTGAGAAATCTACTACCACCAGAAGGTTCAACTGCTAAGTTTGTTGATTTGCACATTCATCAAACATAGAATTGAGTTGAAGAACAACTCCATTTTACCATTACATATGATAAAATGGTAAGGTTCAAGTGTACATAATGCTCTATAATGGTATCGTAGATTTAGTTCTATGAACCACAAGATCGGTCACATCGCAATTCCAATTGGTTTTGTTAGTAAGAAATATCGAAGTTGCAAAATATTTTTGAGAGTACACAAGAATTTACAATGATATATGAGTGACAAGATGGATCATTATTTGAATGATGGGCAAGGGTTATAAGTATCAATTACAAAGACAAATTTACCATCTATTAAGAACTCTACTACCACTAGAATGTTCAGCTTCTAAGTTAGTTGAATTATTCATTCATCAAAGGAGAAATAAGTTGAAATAGCTCTGATTCGATCATTACATATGATAATTAAAATAATGTGCATGATTTTTTCTTCATGAGTCTGGAAAAAAATAGACACACAATATTTGGCTGAAACATGCGGATGCATGAGATCAATGAAAAGTTATGTACATCATAAAATTTTGATGGCCAATCAAAGAGTAGATGATCGTGAATATGGTCTTCAAAATAGTGATAAACGTATTACTCTTATATTTTTACATGATCGTTGCTCCTAGCAACACTCAAACAACATATGGCGGCCCTATTATCACACAATATAGTTTAAATAATATTTATGGTTAATATATTTGTATAACCCAAACTTTTCACATATTAAAAATCATGACCAATCTTTTCGATCTATAACTTCATGGCCTCAACTATGCATCAAAATTACAAAATTCTGTTATCTTGGACGGTCAAACATTTTGACTAACGGTCAACCCGAGATTTTAAGTGGTGTGTGCTGACTTGATCAGTGATGTGGCGCATTAATCGTTAGTCAACGAGTTTAACCGTCGAAGATAACGGTCAAAATCGCGGGTTTGGACAATTTCGTGACTTTTAATTCGATAAAATTTGTCAGAATGTTTAATATGTGAAAAGTTCGGATCATACAACTATATTAACCCTAATAAATATATACAAAATCAGCCTACCGCCATTAAAAAATAACAACAAAATAATATTAATACATGGGCACAAAACTAGTAATAATAGGAAGAACAAAACATATATGAAAACCTAAACCGAACATTCAAACATTATGCTTGTACGAAAACTCATATATATAAACCCCAAAAATCAAAGCCCCCAAACCCATATAGAGAAATCCCCGTGATCTCTGCTGCAGATCTTCATTCCAGGTACTACTTCTCCTCATTAATCGCCTTCCGATCCGTCGACCATCTAATGGCGGCGCGGATCTTTGACTGCCCAAAACTCAGATTGATATCGTCCCCAGTCGTCTTTTCTGCAGCCGCTCGATAATGGAAGGTGTACTTGAGTAATTCCTCATCTGAAACATAGTCCGGATCGTCATAATTCGTACACTTCCTCGGGGATATTAAGATGTCCGTCTTTGCCAGCTTCCTGAAACACAGATCGCTATCCCCAGTCGTCTTTGCTGCAGCCGCTCGATAACTGAAGCTGTACTGGAGCAATCCCTCATCCGAATCATAGTCCGGATCATAGTTCCTCTTGAAAAGGAGCTCTCCTCTAGTGCTTTTTTTCTTCGCCATAGTGCTGAATCAATTCACCGGCTGCAAAATCTCCGCGACCTAATTAAGCTTTGTTTGTGGAGTTTGATTGAGGAGAAGAGAGCGATCCGAAAGACCCTTTAAATAGGATATAGTCCGAATGCAAAGACCAGTAAGGAAACCCAATTCCACACAAGAAAAGGAATTGAACACTTCCGTTGGACCGACCGCCGTGTAAAGCCCAACAGGCCGGCGGAGGTCGATGGGCTTTTTCGTTTCGACGAAGGAAAAATAAACCCACTTTAATTTTGCTGCCATTGTTGGTTTCTTAAATCACTAGCTTGCCGCAGCGGTTGAGACCCGCCAGCTTGGGGAACGACTTCCAGTTGGCGTGGCCCTTGTTGGTAGGGCGGGAAAATAGACCAGATCGTTAGAAAAATCGTGGTTAAAACGGTATCTTACAGTTTGGACCGGACCGGACCGTAGACCGTTACGTTATGTTTGGTCTGGTCTGGTCCGGTCCATGATCTGTATTATTTTATGTTTTGATCTCTTGGTTTTGTCTGGTCTGGTTTAGATCGCGGTTTACCGGATCAAACCGTGGACCCAACCGACTTGTCAATAAGTTTATCGACCTATTCGACCACTCTCCCAACTCACACAACGACACCCAAGTCTCAACCTTAATTTTGTGAATCCCGTCCCTCCTTCATTCACTACAAAAAGGCAGTCATTATCGATGACACAATTTTCGTCATAATTACTAAAATTTCGTAGTTAGAAATTGTCCAGTCGCTAATAAAACATTATTGACAAGTCATCAAAATTACAATATTATTGACGACATAAATACGTTAGCAATAAAATAAATGACGTCACAAAAGAAATCACTCATGACGGATGAATTTGACGAATTTTTTTTCCAACGGCAAATTCATTTATTTTTGACGCATTATGTTGTAGGTAAACCATTATTTTTGACTAGTCGTCATAAATACTAGTTATACTAACGTCCATAATTCGTCGAAAATAACTATTTGCGTATAGAATTTGAGGCCGAACTTTTTTTTATACGTTGTACATACATTTCTGAGGATGTGTATGCGTCAATAATATATTATTACCGAAGGATAGTCAAAAATATAAATTTTACTGATGCCGAAAAATTGTCGTTAAACCTATGTTTTTTCCAACGTGTTGTTGGATAAATTTTTATTTCCGAGGACAACTATTCATCATAAAAAAAATCTTTTCCGACGTGTCGTTGGTTAAATTTATATTATTGAGGACATATGTTTATCGTTGGAAAAAATATATTTACTGAGGACAACTATTTATCACCAAAAATAAACTTTTTCAACGGGTCGTCGTAAAAACTACATTTACTAATGACACTTAATTATTGTCAATAGTGCGATTACATCTATTAACGACGATACATTTGTTGCTAATTGCTTGATCAAATTTCATTTGTGACACCATTACACTTCTAGTGACGACAACACAAACAAATCATCCAAAAGAAGTTATGCATATATGATAATATTCCAAAATTGACTTAAAACTGTCTTACAAGTAGCCATCAACTACGACCAAACATCCAAAATTCAAAAGGCAAAATATCCTCCGAAAATGACACAAAATATCCCAAAATCAATCGATATTTAGAATCCTACGATAGCATTAAAAAGAAATTCATGCAGCAGCAGCAGTCTCGTCGGCAGTCTCCTAATCGGACTCGTCGTCGGACACATCATCGGCCGCATCAGTACCCTGAGTTTCCCCAACTCGACCATGTTCCCCATTGGCTTCACTATTGAGATCCTACAGAGAATATAACAAATAAATTAGCCTAATGCCCATATAACATAGCTTCGAAAATTATGTAATGAGTAAAATAAAACATGGCAGCAAAGTACTTACCATGTCGAATGACTCGGGCAGCCGCACTCCAAGTCTTTGCAAGATAGATTCAACGATGTGAGGGACTGCATTCCTCACATCTACGATCTCATCCTCCAACTTCTTCATTTTCTCATCATTTTTCCCCTTCTTTGGTTCGATCCTCCCGACAAAGCTTGCTGCAACCCTGACTACCTTGACTCGATGGGGGACCGAAGACATAAACTGAGCTCACCTCATGGCTCATCCCTAGAACACGCTTTGGGCGTTGTGGTCCTGTCACTTCTTGATAGATGGAAAATCTATTTGGTTCTTCCCCTTGGGATACCTTTTCAGCCTCTGCTTCTATCATTCTGTCCTAATCATGAAGTAAACAACATTAATTTCGATAAAAAGACAACAAAAATTAGTACAAACAGCAACCTAATACTCTGTAAACATTATTGAACTTACATGCAGGGTTTTTGCTTTTAAGATAACCCAGTTCTTGTCATTCTTCACATGGAAACGTCTAAACATCTCGATCGGATCAGGTTCTTTTCCAGTTTGTTTTATCTACCAATCCATTAAAAACAAAACATTGCATTAACACATGTAAACTGAGTACAATTGAAGCCTAACATAAACATTAAAAAGTGCAGTAGCTTACCTCTTCATGTATGTACTTGGCCAACGGTGCTGAACCGCAGTGGCTGCAAGCTCACTCTTCTCCCGATTCTCTTTATTCTTATCACTCATTTCCTTCAATTCGAAACAAACCAACATTCATCTCACCATTCAAAACACATTAGGATGAAAGAACAGACACCAAAGCATACAACAACTTACCACCCAATTCGGGTCAGTCCATTTCTGAACCATCTCCCTCCAAATTGATGGACTTATCTGCGGTGTTGGATGGTTCATTCTCTCATTCAGATCATTATACTTCGTGAAAATCGGGTCTCGGAGACCATACATCCACTGGGGATAGTTTCTCTTCACGTGTTGTCTAACCATATCGTTGAAAGTCTCTTCTAACCCAGTGTAAGTGAATCCTGAGTCCTTGAAACGAGCTATCACAGTCTGCAGCTCTGATGCAAGGTACTTTGAGAACGTATTCCAAGGCCCATTAATGATCCTTTTAAATATAGCTGAAATTTCACGGGCTACTTGAGTGGTAATTATCATGCACAATTTATAAAGAAGCATTAAACTAACTAAAATCAGCTAATGCAAAGAACTTTGCAAATCCAAGGCCCATTATTACAAACCTGTTGTCGTGAAATTCCAGGGACAGGTTGTACCCAGGTTTGACACCCTTTCCTGGTCCTCTTCCTTTTCTTTTTTTGGTCGTCCCTATCACAAGTTAACAACTTATAGTCAGCTAATGCAAAGGCAGAAGGAAGCCAAATTAAGAAGAAGAAAAACCACAGAAGGAAGCTCACCATTCGAACTTCCACCCTTTGACGACAGATCCTCAGCTGATTGTTGAGCAGACAAATCAACCTACTTTGTTTCTCCTTCCAATCCAGTAACAGGGGACCTTTGCTAGGTTCTCGGAGTTTCAGTAACACAAACATGCGGATTGGTGTTCCTGCCATCTTGTCCTTCTTCCCGAATCTCTGAAACAAGAGGCGGAGAGGGAGAGTTGCTCTGCACATGGTCACGAGGTGCAGATTCTTCCTTCTGGTTCTGAGAACGGAGGCATTTCTTTTGCTTTGCCATCTAGTGAGAAGCAGAATTCGTTGGTGGGAGGAGAGGAATGGCAAAGAAGAAGTAATGGCAGAGAACAAAGAAGGGTCTTTTGGGTTCCTTTATTTGGCTCTGCCTCTACTGAAGCGTGTTTATGGATAGTAGAGATTAATAATGAGCCGTGTTGTGTGTAGTTATTGTGTTGTAGTGAGAAACAGGAAAAAAAATCCCGCCTTTTTTTAGGCTAACGAAGAGGCTTAAGTAAGGTTTTTGGTTCTTTAACTTTTTTGAGCAAATCTCGTTGTCATAAAAAGGCAAAAAATCCCTCTTTGCTGTTTTAATCATTTAAAGTTAATTAGTTTTTTTGCAATTAAGGATTAATTCAGGAAGGCCAAAGTTAAAGCTGCGCAACTAAACAAACTATATTAAATCAGAGAGAAGAATTGACAAAGCAGGGGGATTGAACAGAGTGGGTACATGAATGAACCATTCACCAAAACGCAAAAAAAAAAAAAAAAACGGACCAGAACAGACCCCATGGATCAACATTCGACATTCAGACAGAAGGGAAAAGGCAAAAAAATCAATGGTTTGGCAAAACTCATAACTGGAAAAAGAAGTCTATTTCCTTTGAATTGCCATATTGGTCATCGCTCTTAGTACGCCACAATTTGGATGTCATGCATATAGAGAAAAATGTATGTGATAGTATTCTTGGTACTATTATGAATATTGAGGGCAAAACAAAGGATGGTCTAAGTGCACGTTGTGATTTGGAGGAGATGGGTATAAGGAAAGATCTTCATCCTGTTGAGAGGAATGAGAACACAGAGTTACCTAGAACTGCATATGGCTTGACGGCGGGAGAGAAGAAATCCTTGTGTCAGTGGCTATCAAAAGTGAAGGTACCAGATGCTTACTCCGCAAGTTTGGCACGTTGTGTCAATGTTGATGATCGAAAGATACATGGGATGAAAGCTCATGATTTTCATGTGTTCTTGAAGAGGTTATTACCGTTAGCCGCCCGTGATTTATTTCCGAAGGTCATATCGGACACATTGATTGAGCTTAGCAAATTTTTCAAGGACATATGTTCCAAGGAGCTAAACGTGGAAAATTTGAATTACTTGGAGTCTCAAATTGACATAATCCTATGAAAGTTCAAACGTATTTTTCCTCCTGCCTTATCCATCTGCCTTGGGAGTCTCAATAATGATCCACTTGCCCATCCATCTGCCTTGGGAGGCCAAAGTGGCTGGTCCAGTTCAATATCGATGGATGTATCCTGTTGAAAGGTATGCTATATAATTACACTAAAATGATTATATATACTGACATTTTCGAAACTTTCTGTAGTTAATTTGACATTTTTTAAACAATTTAGGTATCTGAAGAAGTTAAAAGGTCACGTTCGTAACAAGGCACGTCCAGAGGGATCAATCGCCGAAGCTTATATTGTTGACGAATGTGTCACATTTTGCTCGCAATATTTGACCGAAATGGATATTATATTTAATCAGCTAGAGAGAAATGTAGATAAATCTGCATCGTCGTCGCAACCATCTCATGACCTATCAGTTGTTCCGGGTGTCGGTCGTGCCATTGGTGTGAAGGACGACATGAGAGACTTCAATATTGATTTGTGGAAGGCGACATCTTCTTATGTTCTACAAAACTGTGATGAGGTGCAAGATTTTATAAGGTACATATACATATATACCAATACTTCTTTATTTATTGTATGCTAGAATATAATTTATTTTAATTAATTACAGAACTCACAAGGAACAACTAAGTAATCGAGGTGTTTGTATGGTTGAAGCAGTGCATAAGCAAGAATTTGCTAAGTGGTTCTTATTAGAGCTACATACATGTCATATATAATAAAGAATTTTTATATTTAAAAATTATTGGAAGCTAATTTTAAGTTTATCCTTGCAATTATTGCAGATTACACGAATGCACAATGATAAAGTGCCAAGTTTGAATCCTTCTTTGTTATCCTTAGCTCGAGAGCCAGACAAACTAGTCATGCACTACTCAGGATATTGTATCAATGGATTCAGATTTCACACTCGTACTCGCGAGTTAACCAAAAGCAGTCAAAACAGTGGTGTGATGGTGAGAGGGGAGAATGATGGTGGAATTCATTACTATGGCGTTCTCACCGATATCATCGAGCTTTGTTATACTGATGGGCTTTGCGTTGTATTATTTCAGTGTGAGTGGTATGACACCGCTCGCGAAGGCGTTGGTTACAGGAAAGATGGACATGGCACTATTACCATCAACACAACGCGAAGGCTTAGAACAGATGAGCCATTTGTTCTGGCTAGTCAAGCAATTCAAGTTTATTATGTGCAATCTTTAAGAGATCCAAATTGGGAAATTGTGGTTGAAACGCGACCAAGAAATTTGTTCACGATGCCATTTAATACGGAAGGAGAAGGATAAGGAGCATTAGACGAAGCCTATCAAGAAGATAATATTTTAATTGATGATCCTAGGGTACTCCAAACCGAGGAGATGATCTCTTAAACTAGACTAGAGCAGGGTTCGAAGATTAAGTATGACTAATTTGGTCTTTGTAGATCGAAATATATATTATATAATTTCTATAATATTTTTCATATAATAGTGCTTATTATGTGTTTTTTTATTGATTCAATAATCATTTCTAAAACATGTCATTCTTGTTTGATTTTCATTTATGAAAATGGGTACTTTCAACCTCAGCGGGGTATTCGTCAAGGTGATCCTTTGTCACCTCTTCTTTTCGCAATCTATTCTGAAGCTTTTGCAGCGATGATAAGGCAAGCGGTTGCGGGCTCTACGCTTCATGATTTGAAAGTGCACGGGTCTGCTCCTGCTCTTTCTCACCTTTTTTATGCGGATGACTCCTATCTTTTCCTTCGTGCCTCCATTCCTGAATGTGCTAACCTCCTTCACCTTTTAGCGGAGTATGAATTGTTTAGTGGACAGCGGGTTAACTTACGTAAGTCTGCTATATGTGGGAGTGCGAATGTCTCTGAACAGGAGTTACTTTCGCTTAGTGCGTTTCTAGGAGTGGCGATCATGGCTCCTGATGACAGGTACTTGGGTCTCCCTTCCCAGCCCCGGCGGTCTAAAACGTTGAACTTTCAATTTATTGAAGAAGATTTGGCTGCCTGGATACGGAGTTGGAAGTCCAAGGCATTGTCTTTAGCGGCAAAAGAAGTGGTTATCAAGGCAATAGGGACCGCGGGCCCTATATATGCTATGTCGGCTTTCCGACTTCCCCACGAAACTTGTCGAAGATGTAATAGCCAGCTGTCTAAGTTTTGGTGGGCAAGTCAAGATAAGGAGAACGGCATTCATTGGGTCTCTTGGACTGCGTTATGTCAGAGTAAGTTTGTGGGAGGACTTGGTTTTCGGGATTTTAATCGGTTTAATGTTGCTTTGCTAGCTAAACAGGCCTGGCGCATTTTCAGCAATCCATCCAGTACTCTAGCCCGACTTTACCAGGCCAGATATCATCCTCAACGGCTATTTCTTGAAGCGTCAGCAGGCTCTCGCCCTTCGTGGGCATGGCAAGGCATTCTGACCGGGAGAGATCTCCTCCTTCGGGGCTTAAGATGGCAAGTGGGAAACGGTTCTCGGATTCGTACCATAGAGGATATTTGGCTTCCTTCTACTCCTCCGTCTACCCCCGTTTTACTCCCAGGTTTGACCATCTGCCCCCCTTTAGTATCGGATCTCATATGTCCTGTGTCTCACTCGTGGAAAAAGGATCTCTTAATTTCTCTGTTTGTTCAAGAGAGTGTCGATCTCATCCTGTCCATCACCCTTCCACTCTCTTTTGCGACTGATCGATTGATATGGCAATACTCTTCCTCTGGCCAGTACACTGTTAAGACAGGTTATCATCTTTTGTCTGTTGAATTCATCCTTCGGCAGCCTCTGGTGGTACTACCTTTTGACACCAGGTTTTGGAAGTTTCTTTGGAGCATTCCTGTGCCTCCGAAGCTAAAGTTCTTTTTTTGGCGAGTTGTCCGCGGATTCTTGCCCTTGCAGATAGTGTTGTTTTCTAAGACGCTGGTATCAGATACGATTTGTCCTATATGCTCAGGGGAGCCCGAATCCTTCTTCCATTTTTTGTTTTCCTGCAGGGTCGCGAGAGGACTGTGGAGGATGGCGGGACTTGAAGGCCTGAGCATTGCTCTTGGTGGAATGATTCCTGATGAGGCCTGGCCACATCTTTTCTTCTCTTTGAATCTTTCAAAAATTGAGATAGCTAATATTGTTTTCATTCTCTGGAGGATTTGGAAGGGAAGATGTTGGGCGGTTCATGAAGGCATTCAATACCTTCCAGTGGCTTTGTTTCGGCAGTATCATCGACAAGTGGATGAATGGAGGGCGGTTGGACATAATCATGCATCTCGGCCTTCCATCGGTAATGCTTCTTTCGTTTCTGCCCCGTCACTTGGTACCAGAGGCACACCTACGACCTCAGGTCCCTCGGCTGTAATCAACGTCTGGTTTGATGGTGCGGTCAAGCGTGGTCACGGAGGGAGTGTTGGTTTTGTCGGCTTTCATGCAACAGGTAATGTTTTGTTGGCCTTTGGAAAGTTTTATGATGGGATCCAGGACCCATTTCTCATGGAATGTTTAGCTCTACGTGATGCCTTACAGTGGTGTCTAACTCATTCCTTTCTTGCTGTTCATTTTCATGGGGACTCTCAACTCTTGATACGCCGGATGATTGGAGGTGACATGCTTCATGCTCGGGGTGGCGCTATTTTGGAGGACGCTAGGAGCTTGGCCTCTGCTTTCAGCTGTGTTTCTTTCAGTTTTGTTTCTCGTCAACTCAATAGGGCTGCCCATCATG